TTGCAGGGGGGTTAGGGGGGTTATGACCCCCACAATAATTTGATCCAGTTAAGATAATCCCCCCAATAATATGCCATCATTTGCTCAAACACAATAGAAATTAACTGGTTAAATAGACAGATGCAACTCTCTTGTTGTCTTTAGGTAACTTTGACCTGATTTAAAAATTTACAATGTTGTATATGTATGTTTGAGCAGTTGAGCATGTTTGACGGCGCAGAACGAGGATGTGAGTGCTGCATGTGTGGTCCTCACAAAGGTAGAGAGACGTATGTGTGTGTGATTAAACATGCGATGAAAACTCTAGCTGTTTTTCACGACCGCTTTGCAAGCTACTTTCTTTTTCTTTAAAGGAAAATCCAACAGGTGAAGCCACAGCTTGGTTACCTTATGAAGAATCACCAACACAGACCCCGCGTGCGACCTGGTGCCTGCGAGTCCGTTCATGTTCAGCAGCTACGATGTCCCCTTTGTCCCTCAACTTTTAAAAAATAACCAGTCCTTTGTGAACTCAAAGCACCATAAGTCTAGGCAGAATGAGCTGCTGTTAGTCTACAAGTCATGCTGGACTAAAACACCAAGCTGAGCTCTCCTCTCTATCACTCACACATGCGCTGCAGCAGGAGACACGGTCYCTTTCAGGAGCATTAACCCTTTAGGGCCCAGATTAAAATGTGGTAAATACATTTTCAGTGACTGAGAGGATTTTTTTAAACTGTTTCCTTTTATATCCACAAGAGATAGAAAAGGGAGGCTGAGAAGTGTGATTCCATAATTGGTGGTGGTGGTGGTGGTGGGGTGGGGGGTGTCAGCAGTTCCCCACCCGAACAAAACACTGCTTGGGTCAGGGCTTGCTTTACTTTTCTGAGTCACCTAATAGATTGCCAGAACCAACTCCAACTGAACATCCTTCTTTATGGCCTCCCTAAATTTCTCCCATACCTGAGTTTTTGCATCCTYAATTAAAGATGTCACTACTGATGTTCCTAATGATTCTTTTTAGTTTTGTAATAAAAGCCTGATTGTTTCAATAAATGTCTTCACACTCTTTAGAGTTGATCTGTAAACTGAGTTTTTTCCGAGTTCTTTATTGTCTTGACTGTAGCCTTGGCCTTACTTTCTTCAGGCAATATAAACACAAATTTTTGTATAAAAATAAGATAATAAATTAGAAAATTTCTAACTAGTTCACCAGTAGTATTTCCAACATTACCCCATAAATAATTATTTAATGGTAAATATACTCTTCATGTYCTCTTTCTTTATTCCTCTTCTCATCTTTATTTGTGTTGCTTAGATCTCCACCTATCTCTGGCTTCCTGGATGACTATACCTTTCTCATTTGCGGCCTGTTGGATCTTTACGAGGCATCTCTACAAACAGAATGGTTGCAGTGGGCGGAGGAGCTGCAGTTCAGGCAAGATGTGTTGTTTTGGGACGACCTGGGTGGAGGCTACTTCTGCTGTGATCCCAGGGACAGCAAGGTTCTGCTGCAACTGAAAGAGGGTGAGGAAAAAATAAAATTATAACCGTCATGAAGTTATCAGACATAAATAAGACAACAAGCAATTTCTCCAAATATACTGGAATTACCAACTTATGTTTCAAATCAAGCTTTGCAAGTTAATCTTTGTATTTTTTGGGGAACTTTTCTAACATAGTACACAGACATTTGTCTTAAGAAAGTATAGGAAACAGATCATGAATGACTAACGTTTGAGCTTTATTCAGAAGGAGTTTGTTGATTTTCCTTTCAGCTGCTTCCTTCTGTAGGGGTTGCCACAGCAAGCAAACTTGTATGAAAKATGTTTTATGTCCAGACGCAACCTGAACTCAAACCTGCAGTCTCAGGATTACGAGACTGTGACACTGACCACCAAGCTACCAAAATYCTCCTGAAAGCAGCTCATTAATAATTCAAAATGAGGCAACAATGCTTTAAAAATGTCACATCTGGATCTTCTCCAAATTTATTTTAAATAGCTTTTAGGGAGACTTTTTTAAAAAGTTGTCTATTTTTCTAAAATTCCTGGAAAGCATTTTTTGTTTTTGTTTTTTCCACTTATTTTCACTTTTGCTTGAAGGACTTTTAGGCTTGTGTTAAGTGGCCTAATAAACCGAAACATCCACCCATCAATCCGTTTTCTGTACACGCTTCTTCCTTTCAGGGTCGCGTGGGTCACTGGTGCCCATATCCAGCAGTCACAGTGCGAGGGGCGGGGTACACCCTGGACAGGCCGCAAGTCCATCACAGGGCCACACAACAAACAACCATTCACTCTCTCACTCACACCTAGGGACAATTTAGAGTTATCAATTAACCTAACAGTCATGCTTTTGGTCTGTGGGAGGAAGCCAGAGTGCCCAGAGAGAACCCACGCATGCACGGAGAGAACATGCAAACTATACCCAGAAATGTCACCGGCCCGGGATTTGAACTGGCATCCTTCTTGCTGAGAGGCGTAAGCTCTACCAACTGAGCCACCGTGCCGCCAAAAGTCTGAAACATATCTCTGAAAAATGGTCCAGTATAAGGAATGCAATATAAAGGAAGCAAAGAGGCAGTCAACAGTAAAAAAAATGTTTTAAATAAAAGCATGCAAAACTATTGCTTAAGACCAGTTACAAAAATCTAAAGAAAGTCTGGCTGGTTGGATTTAGGATTGTGCACCTCTGGAGTGTGGCTGATACAACAGATATCTTGATGCACTGCTACTGAGCAGATTTGGTAAAGAAGTATAAACAGCAAAAACTGCTGCATAACAATGGAGACTTTAGTCACAATATTATTCAGCCTTTATTCATGATAAAATTCAGTCTCTAGTTAGAATATGAATCAGCCTTTAATTACAATACGATTCATCCCTGTCACAATACAATTTAACCTTTATTAATAATATGATTCAGCCACAGACACAACAAAGTAAATTAAAATGAAGTGCTTCTTTTTGTTGCAAGGTTTTTGCCTAATCTCGACAATATCCTTGTTTTCATGTAGGCAACAGTCTTGTTTGGCAAAATTATGTCAAACCATAAAGACAATAGGTGGGTTAGTTTATACAGTTTGGGTGGAGGTTAAAACAAAATATTCTGCACAACTGAAAATACAGTTTTGTAAGCTGAGTGTACAAAAGTAATTTGTGATTTTTAAAACTGGCCATGCAAAATTCAAACACAGGACTATCCTGGTTGCTTGATTGTAAAAAGTCAGACTTTAGTGAGACTGCAAACGAACATTCATCTATTTTCTTGCAATTTTGAGTTGCCAATTAGTCTTCAAGTGAATACTTGCTGTTACCTGAAATGGCTTAGTGTTTGTGTGTGTGTGTGTGTGTGTGTGTGTGTGTGTGTGTGTGTGTGTGTGTG